CCAACATTTATAAATAGGAGACGGTTCTGCCTCAACTTAGTAGTATCATAAGCCATCAAGTGAGCGGAATCCGGTCTACAATATTAAATCGTTTAAAAGCTACAGAACTATTGCTTAGCATTGACAATTCCCCAAACAAAGAGCGACCGCAATCTAGTCATGCACACAACACAAAACAAGACTAGACCTCCTGGATATTGTCTTTTATTGAATCTGGAAAGAGAAAGTCTTGTGGCTAAATAGCCTTGTGGTAGGTCTGGGACAAAATCTCGACACCACAGCTTCACTTTCTGAGAGCATGGGTCTCATGTTTCAATTACCTTATAAACCTTTATAATATACAGGATTAAAATTCAAATTAGGGCTAGGGTTTGTATGATACGTGATTTCAGGTCTCCGCATAGAAAATGCTCCATTTTTCAACATTTTTAAATGTTTCGAGACGTCTCGAGACTGCCTAAATTGGTCTCGAGACTGCCTAAATTGGTCTCGAGACAAAGTGTCTTGCCTACATATACATGTAGGTCTTGTGTTGTCTCCTATCGGCCAAGAAAACAAAGTCTCGAGACTTTTTGTATTGTGTGCATCAGGACCGCTATCTAACCGAAAGCTGATATGTCTTACCCCATCTACATGTGAACTAAACGAAGCACCACAAGGAATCCCATTATCATACCACGTGTATCAAACAAGTCGGAACTGCCTGCATGTATCAGAATCTTCAGGACTAAAATGCTCTCCCCAACTGTTATAAGCCCATTAATATAATGCCTAGTGCCATTTGATTACCCCACCGAAATATTTTATTTGGCGACTCAATGAGCTTGATATCCGGGGAAAGGGCTTCGAACGTTGTAGTGACCGGTTCATACTCTACGAAAGATATCAATTTAATTTAGGACCCCATTGCTGCATCTGCCCCACCTCTTATAGGCCACACGATTATGTTAAATAATAGGTAAATGCGACTATTTCTTTTTTTTTGTTTAATAGGTAAATGCGACTACGGCGATATATCGATTACTAATTTGCCTTCGAGCTGAACCTCCGCCGTGATTAAATCTCTGCCGCTCTCGGACAAAAGAGCTACGAAGTGCTACCTGCTTGGCCACCACTACCGGCGGCGCCGCAATTACTACCGCCACCAGCCCCTCCACGACTGCAACCGCCACCACCGCGACTGGGCATTTCGGCCGTGGCCACAACCACTGACAGTAAGACTACGTGCACCGCGACTATCACAACTATCGATCCCTTCACTTAGATCTATAACATCACCGGCGCCCTGAAACCAGCGTTATCGGCATAAGCCTATCTCTACCCGACCTCCTCTTTCTCCGCCGCCGCCGCCGCTTCCACCCAAGCCCGCTTACTCATTATCACTCGCGTGCGGCTTCCTCGATGCTGTGACCATCATGGCGATCGTGCGGAGAGTCGATCGTGCAATGTTGTCCCGTATATGACCGGATCTAAGCAAATTAGTCCACGAGCCAAAACGTTATCGCTTACTATTCGGCTACGGAGTTTGTAGGTTGTAAGATGCGGAAAAGATGTTCTTTTCGAGCGTGATAGCTAGAAATCAACTTCCTCTCGTAGTTATGGATATATTGGCTGTAAGTCTGAAACCGTGGCTTTATTATTATTGCGTATTTATGTGACTTCTCCACCGCTACATTCTCTATTGCTCACATGACTTGACTGTATTTCTTTTTGATACCCGGCTCCGTCGATCCGTACATGTAACTCGTATCTACAGTGAGAAATGCATTGAGACGAAGATCCCCCCCGAAGGTTATTAAGCGATAAGCTCGATCGAGTCTTGGCTGAGTAGCGACGGCCATGGCCACAAGACAAGATGTCTCGGGCTGCGTATTGACTCGAGACTCGGCTACATGCAAGACTTGACAATAGCGAGATGTTGGAAGGACAAGCATCTCGAGAGTAGAGCAAGGTTACTCAGACCTATCCTTAACCACCAGTACCAACAGTATATGAGAAGAAACAACTGTCAATCTTGTCTTGTCTTGCGTCTTGGACTATACTTTCTTCCATGGTCTAAGGATCCGGTGCTCAATTAATGGTGTACAGCGGCAGGTAATAAGTGATGGAACGGCTAAGACACAGTGATACCTATTTTGGGTAAAACGCCACCAACATACGGTGTTTGCAGGTATAACTATATCTCAGGGCGTTCCATCACTTGTTACCTGTCGCTGTACTTGGCTCTGCTGACTGACTCATATGACCACCGAGTTAATCACCAACAGCAACAATGCCAGCCATCACCACCGGATCACTAGGACGTACGTCATTATCCCCCGGCGACCACACTCGGGCTATTTTCAAAAGGCGTATTATATATGAATTAGAAAGAGCAGTCGATCGCGCTCGACCTACCACAACTACAACTAGAACTCCCATACAGTAAACACGCGGACGTCACTTCTACCTCCCTATGGCCGAGGGATGAAGTCTCAAACGCACCTCAGCTATCACCATCGCCAGTAGCACGACAGCGACCACAAGTACAGCTATTTTTCCTATTGAAGTATGATTATTCACAGAGTATCACTCGCTCCTCGGCTAAATCGTAGCCACAGCCGCCGCCATTACTGCCGCTACCGCGCGAGTGCCCCGAGCTCGGGATCATAGAATCTCACTCGCATAGCTAACCCTGCCACTTCACTGGAACCTATATAACTGCTCCTCTTGTCATATAAGAAATTATATTTGGCGTTTAGACCCCGCGATGGGTGATGGGTTTTTGGGGGTAAATTATCTTGGGTTATAATGGGTGTATATGCAAAAAATTCAAACGTTTCCCTATTAAGGCGATAAGTCATCATGACAGATAGATGGGAAAACTAAAGATGATGATTTTGGACAATAAGAGGCATTAGAACCCTACCCACTTGCCTAAACGGCCCTCTCTATTGGTTAGTTGAAGGTATATTCTGTATCAATTTGATTGTGATTGGTCACTCGATCGAGTATTATGGGTTGGACTAGGCTATAGGGCGATGGTTTAATACAACCCGGGTTGACCCATTGCTGCGTCTGCTTTTGATGATCATTCAGAAAGATATATCGAGGTCATTTTATACTCGAAATGCCTTACAAAAGTGATATGTACTTGTAAGCACACGGGTTGGACTACCCAACCTTGACTTCAACATTCACGATCGCGAGAAAATAATAACCACCACTGATGCTATCGCAACCCACACCAAAATTGGCTGTAAGGTCCTAGTTGCACTCACCTCACCGCTAAGATGCCGGCCACGACACAACGACGAACATTTTCCTACCGATCAACCACCCCCAGATGCCTACAGAAAGATTACTGACCCCCACTAACATCCCATATGCATATGGTGACTACCGACACATATCAGGCAGCAATATCAACCCCAGGTGTGCTAATAGTCATGTAATCTGAGCATGAATCTTGTAGTACCATAGTGGCGCAGGGAAATATAGCAACACTGTGATAATTCCAGGCTTTTAATGGGCTGGACCGGTCTATATTTGACCTCGGCCCGGCCCGGCCCAGCCCACCAAAGGTTGGGCCCGGACCGACTGGCCCATATACCATGAGGACCGGTCACGGAAATATAAATATATGGGCCCCCCCCAATGATATTCATCGAAGTCGAAAGAGGAAAAAAGGTATTATAAGATTGTTGCATTGAGGATTTACCTCATAATGAGTGGAGAAATCCAGTCATAAACTAGCCCATATATTATTCCCCTTGACCAGTCCCAAAACCCATCCGGACCGGCCCAGCCCAGCAGAGAAAACTCCAAGCCCGGCCCACCGCCCGTATACTTGGACCGGTCCGGCCCGTATATGTGGCCGCCCATTAAACAGCCTGGATAATTTCGGACAGAATAATCGCATACTATCATAGTTATGAATTACCAAAGCCTAAAACATCTGTGGGCATACCCAGCTGCTACCCATAGTTAATCACTCTATAGTATTGGAAACATGTGCTGATAATCATATATTCCAAGTGATAATTCCGACTGACTCTCGAAACTATGCAAGCTCCACCATCCTGTTGAGTATACATTAGAAGAAAGGACAGAAATGGACGAAATGACCCTGAATCTTCCCGGTACATATTCCCACCCAAGCTAGCTTATGCTTCACGGTTTTGAAGCTGGACTTCCTTGTGCTGAGACCCGAGCTATGTGATAATGAATGGGGCTTACGTCTTAACAAGGTGTACGTTGTCGGAAGTTTGATATGGGTAGTATCAGCTTGTTGGACTTCAAAGTGGTCAATACAGTAATGGGTTGGATAGACACTATTTATGTAGTCCGCGACTGACATCAATACGGTTATGTGTCAGGGCGGTGAGTCAGAAAGCGCCGCGGAAAGGCGGATGATATTCCCCACGTGGGGGGCGAGGAGGGCTTTTGCGCGGTGGGTTAGGGTTATGCTCCATTTATATGTGATCATGGGTTACCTAGGTAAATATTTGCTTGTACCAAACCCAACCCACTCACCACTTTGGGCTTACCTAACCCAACCCAAGCTAATTTACCGTGGTACACCCGAATACATAACTCATCACCAGTTGCAGGGTCTGCATAAGCCCAGTTTCCTTAGACCCGCGCTCATATATAAATCAAGGAAGCGGACGTAAGTGATGATCTATATTTCCGCAACCGATCGCTTTCTTAGAGTGACATTGGGCCATGTATTGTTACCGCTATAGCTAGGAAGGCAATTGCTCTTTGCAGATGTACTAGAGGGCGAGTATAGCAATAAGGGCTAGAGCTGGACAATATCACGGGATCATCTATTCTCACTCGGATAATGTTGTCACAGTTTACCGTGTTATTTCTCAAATTTTCTTTTTTGTTTAATTCATTAATTGCACACATCTTACCATGTTACAGAAGGTGGAGTATGAGATAGAATCTATCAGAATTTCTAGATAATCAACTGTAGTGCTGCAGAACGTCTATTACAGAATTACTCCGATGTTTCACCGATTTTGATTCTCCTTGTGTCCATCTTCAAAGGTCCACGCCCTAACCCAGTAACCTCCCGCTCCATCTTTCAAGGTGATCGGGAATGGCTTGTAGTTTATCGACGCATGCTCTCCCATCGGCACGGACGGGGAAGCCCATACCACCTTTCCTTCTCCGGCCCCCGCCAAAGCACTACTCCAGTCCATCCCAATCAAGTTAAACCTTGTCCACGACGTGGCATACACCAAGTCCCTGATCTTGCATCCTCGGGGTCCCAAAGTGACACCACCCTTTGCATCCTCCCAGAATCTTAGAACGTTTCTAGAAACGCTTAGTTGGGTATTCTGCAGGACAGCAAGACGGATCACCAGGGAAATCCGTGAAAGCGGCATGTTTTGAATATCGAGGAAACTGATAAGCATGTCGTAATAGCTATTGTGCAGGTATGTCGTTCTAGTAGAAGGAGGGGGTAAAATACTCCGGTAGTTGAAGCTGTAGTTAAGGTCGATCTCCTTTGACTCGGAATTGGCGTAGTTCTCCTAAATGAGTCATTAGTACTTGGATGTGGGCTTTATACGAGAGGTAAAGAATATTCGCAAGAAGTCTCACCTTTAGGAACCATGCCGTCAGAACATCGTTCTTTGTTAACTTGATCCCTCCAGCTTCTTCCAGCATTCCCAATGACGCAGCTTCCACTATCTCTCTCTGACAGTCATCCAGCCAGCCTTCTACCAGATCTGCACTGAGGTGGACGTATAGTTCTTTCCCCCTTTCACGTGAGGCTAGCTCAAACTGTTCGTCATACCACCTGACATCGACCTGTTGTTTTGACAATACAGTGAAAGGATTGAACACGAGTGGAGCATTGAAAAAGGCGCTCTCCGATTGGTGGTCAGGCGGTACCTCAATGAGCGTTGATAAAAGAACCTCTACGGCCGGGCAAAGTACAATTTTTGGTATATCGAGTCCAGAGACCCGGTCCCGATAGGATTTGACAACCTCATATAGTGCTTGAGCATCACAGAGTGCATGAGGTGTTTGAAAACCTAGTAATGTTGCATTATTAAGGGTCGTAACACGTATAATGAAAATATTGCTGGGTAGCGAGGTGAATGCAGAGTTAAAGTGAAACAGGTCATCGTTAGAGGCAGAATTGTGCTTATAAGATCTGTAGGAAGCCTCCCTAGTTGCGGTAGGAGATGGAGAAATGTCGATTGTGAGAATATCATTGAGCTGCGACGGAATGTGCCGGGATTCGAAGTCGATCGTTGTGCCGGTGGTGAAAGAGTAAGGCGACGTCTGCAGGTGCTATCAGCTTCTAATTCTTGCGAGATACTATTTCTTCGTAGGTGTGGTACAGTTTTTATTACTTGTCCGCTGAGGACTGGCCACTTGGCAACAAGCTCAGGAGCCTTCTCCTTTAGAATCCTGACATCGAGAACTCCAAGAATAACGAGTCCAAGAAAGATAGTGCAGTCCTCGCTGGGGTTACCTTCTGAAATATGGCGGTATACCGTTGGAAAGCCTTCGATTTTCATGTTTGTTAGGGATACATAATTCGTGGGTATACAGTGTTCCGCAGGCATGGATGCCTTATATGAAGGCTAAAGGGAAATCTCCTCATATGGCATATTGGGTTGATCCAACAGGATTTTAAAGGATGGACATATCTTTGAGAGTCGTTGACACTAAATTGAAACATTACAGACCTTAATGCATGCATGCATGCATTATAATTTAGGGGGGCTTGTTCGTAAGCACGGTATTCAAAAAGTGATATATGATATCATCCTGTATGCACCGAAGCTAAAAAGACCAGATTGTGAAGAGTGAAACATGTATAGTACTATTAAAGCCCAACTAGGTACTGCAGCGATCGACATTATAGGCGATCTTCAACCCAGCACCTCTCAACCAATTGATGATGTATCGCATATCATATTCCAACAAAAGCTGAATCCTTCACCCCCACTCCCGCAAGGCAGAAACCAGGTCTACAATATACGCGTGTCAGAAATAACGCACGCGATTCGTGTATGCCGGCGCACCGACCCGGTACTTTGCACTGCCATGTCCCATACCACGGTTAAAGGATTATTCCCGTAGAGGGGAGTAAGGATAAATATAGGCCTTGCAGTCCAGCACTCAATAAACGCCGCAAGTGTCTTTGATATTTGTATCTTCAACATGTTCACTCAAGCCATTGAAGCCCCTTGCACCGTGTCAAAATAAACGGTCCGTCCACGATTAATCTCATAAGCATTTGCGTAAAGTCTCCCTGTCTTACTCCATACAATTCTGGTGCCTGAATAGTCAACCTAACCTTCGCAGAATCACAAAGACAAGGAGGCATCCAAAGTACAGAAACAATGACATCCTATTCTTCATCACAAAGTACCCCTTATCAACGGCCTAAGCATGGCGTTATCGAAACCACGAGTAGCACAAAGACAGCAATCCCCAGCGCCCCAAGCGTCAGCGGGGAATACTTTGGTCCGCCCAAACCGTCTACCTCTGCAGTACAGCGAAGACTCAGATTCCTGGATCTCCACAAATTTATTGGTAACGCTCTTGGGGTACTGCAAAGCTCCTTTGGATTCGATCCGAGCCCACCATTTGAGCTTTTTATGGCCAACGGTGAAATTGCCGAGTACCTTGGGAGAGGGAGAACATTCTATGTATCACGACTTTCTCTCCCCGCGACAATTGGACTGAAGGAATCCTGGCCAAGGACACTCTTCGTTCAACCAGCGGTTAGCGCTCCCGGCACGCGCCGGGATGCTTCTGTCGCGTGTAAGAGACCTATGATAGAGTTTGATAGTTTTGGGAACCCCAAGCAAGGAAAAGTTGAAGAGAGGTTGGAGGCAGTGTTTCTTGAAATTCGAGTTTTAACTCATCCGGCTATTTACCTCCATAAGAATGTTGTCGACTTCTTAGGAATTAGCTGGCAATGTGAACTCCCTGAGATTGAGCCTGGGCAAAAAGAATTTCTACCACCTAATCGAGTACCTGTGATACTGCTCGAATATGCGAAACACGGGACTCTGGCAGACTTCCTGCAAACAGATTCATACGCCTCAATGACATTCGACGCGAGAGCCAACTTATGTCGGGATATCGCTGAGGGACTGGCAGTCCTTCACAAAAACAAAATCGTTCATGGAGACTTAAAGCCTGACAATGTCTTGATCTTTGAGGATAACGAGAGTGGCATCAATCTCACAAAGACACTTGGCCTGCAGCTGAGAGCGAAGCTAGCGGACTTTGGTTTCAGCGTGGGATATTCGGCAAACGAAGAAAAATACACTCTGCCAGGGCGGACATGGCCATGGAACGATCCAGAATGGGATGCACCTCGTACCTGGAGTCAATTAGAGAAGACTGACGTGTTCTCCTATGGGTTACTTGCTTGGCGGATTCTTTCGAAAAGGGATATTGGGCAATTGTTCGATTATGATGGAACTGACCCAGACTTGAGGGAGCAAGTCGAAAGGCTGAAGGATTGGACCTTAAGCTTGAATGCCTCAAGTTATTTCAAAGGCAATAGTCACGCAATTCAAATATTAGCACAGTCTATTTTTCGGTTTGCGTTGGAGCCCAGTGTAGATCGGCGGGCCCAGATGCAGGATATCATCCAAGTCTGGGATATATGGTTGAGCAGGTGAGTAAGAGCTATTCTTTGAACATCTAGTAAACATCAACTGACACCAAGGTATAATGGGCGTAGCGACGGCCCTTATGAGTCACACCCAACTTGGACCAAGCTGCATCCGGAAATTGACCTCCCAAAGGTTCACGACAATGTCTCTTTCGAACGTATTCTTCGTTTAACGAAAGACTTCCCTCTTTCATATAAAAGGGAATTCACGGAGATATATCTCGACAACACTCTTAATCCGAACGAGAGATGCCAGACAACTGTTTCCAAAGCATTCAGCTTAATGATGGGATGGACTACAAATCAAGACTTCATCGAAGCAAAGCGCCTCATCGATGAAAGCACATTGATGGCCCCACAGATATCAATTTTTCAGCCGATGTTCTTCGAGTGGGAAGAGCCAGGGTGCTTTCTGTCTGCGTCTCACGGGATCTGCAAAGACTATGAACAGCAAGTGTTCATGGGGCTTATGGCAACTGTGAAGAATACCAACAGCTATGAGGCATTTCGGCAGCTAATGCGATACTTCCCAATGCCAGAAGGATTCTCATACAGCCGGCTCCGCAGTATTGCGTATAGGAAGCTCATGTACGGCATCAAGGAAACTGCGTACCCCGATGAACTCTTTGATCTGAAGGAGCTTGACGAGGCAGCCGCTGGCCAAATGGCAGATATTGAAAATTATTATCTAGAAGGAAACGCTTTGGCATTGGATCACAGTCCGTTACATTATGCGGTTTGCTCTGGCTTTCCCGAGGCTGTTTCTCTGATGCTACAGTCAGAGGACTTTCAAGAACTCGAGAACGTAGATGGGCTCGGCTTCACACCACTGCTATCGGCATGCAGGCTAGGTTCCTACAAGATTGCGAAGCTTCTGATTTGTGCCGGAGCAAACGTCAGAGCGAGAACGGAGCACGGAGAGACTATACTACACTTTCTTGGCGAGTTTGAGAGCGCAAGTGAGATGAGCGAGATTGCAGAGTTGATTATGGAGAGAGGTGGGTCAGAGCTGGTGAATACCATTTGTATCAAACGCAGTTTCCCTAATGAGTACCTGTCTATTATGATTTATTTGATTGGTGCTCCACTGAACACTGCTATTATGAGGGGAAACCTTCCACTTGTCGAGATCCTGTTGAAGTATGGGGCAGATCCCTGTCAAGGCATGCCACAACTCAAAGCTCTCTCCGAGTATGGCCGAGACTCCCGAATGACCGGAGTAAACAACGGTTCTCCTCTACATACAGCGGCGGCCTCACATAGTTGCGAGGTGCTCAAAATGTTCTGGGACGCCTTTCCTTGGTCTAAGGAATGGAAGGAATGGACAAATGGGCGCTTACTGCATTTGGCTATCGATGGATTTCCAGAATTCCAGAAGCAATACATCCACGGACCCCTCAGGAGAAAGATGATGGTGGATACCATCGACCTTCTACTCGATAGACTTCACCACCTCAAGGCTCCGGTGAGAATAAATGGCGGTATGCCTGTTGTTTTCTTCGCCACGGAACGCGGTACAGCGAGCACTCTCGAGCATCTAGTGCTACGGACCAATTCTCTGGATATAAACACCTACTTTGACGGGCTAACACCGATCCATATTGCAGTAAGAAGGGGAATAAATGAGATATTCAACGTACTCATTAAGTATGGCGGAAACCCGCATTTCGGGCCAATAAAAAAGCCAGTCGCTTCGACTCTCTCTTATTGTTGCACATGCCCAGACTCAACAAAGGAGATGCTGAAGTGTCTCCTTGAGCGCGAGGTCGGTAAGCAAGATGATGGACGATATCCTGATACGATCACACATGCACTGGCGGCTGGTAAGCTTCAGGAGGCATCAATGATACTGGCCGCGGGAGCAGATGTAGACGAGCTCACCACGAAAGGGGAAGGAGGCTGGACCACTGTGGGATTGCTCGTACGAGCCTGTGCATACAATTCCATCGCGCTAATGAGCTTCTTAATAGACCATGAGTTTGCTCTTGGCCGGAGGCCCGCAGGATTCATGGCAGTTCCAAGCCTGAGATGGACGGTGTTACATGTCATTGCATTTACGCCTCTCACAAGCCCATTCTACGATCGAACCATCATGTCAAACATTCTCGACTATATCCTGAATAAATTTGACTCCCCCGAAAACCTGAACGCACAGGACCATCACGGATGGACGGCCCTTCACTATGCTGCCGCACACGCCAACTCCATAGCCGTGCGAAGGCTTCTAGCGCTGGATGGGATAGATGCAACACTGCGGACGAGCGATGGGGAGTCAGTATCTGTGTATGAGCTTTCCCAGCGACGCGCGGCTATGGGTATCCCGGAGGTTGTTCAATCTGCTGGACCTCGGGCCGAGAGGATTTACACAAAGGAGATCGATGAGAATATAGCCTTGCTTGAACCCTTCCGTGAGTGTGAACAATGGAACGACAGTTGCACTCCGACTGGTTCTTGAACGATGTGTTACTGCGCAACCTCATTGAGAATGGTTTTCTTGTCTATGCCTACCTTGATCAGCCTTAGTATGTACGCTAGCAAATACCTTGTTTGCGGGAGGATCTTAATTCTTTAGCTCAGGTTTCCACGCTGTTTGAGGAGGGTTTCTAGCTATGCATACCGCTATTAAGCAATGTAATAAATAAGGAATAGTCAATCTACATTACCGTCGAAAAAGGCTTGTAGTAGGCTTGTCGCCAAAATAAGGCATGTTTGAGCGTTTTTTGACAAAATTGTGTCGTTAGCCTTTTCTCCATATAAGGCCTAATATTTTGTAATCGGTTGCCGAAAAAAGGATTATATACATCTTTAGGTCTCTATACACATTAATTTAGTTTAATTGTTGTCAAATAATTTAAGCCTTTATACCAGATAAGCCTTTTTATCAAATAAGACTTTTTCGGCAAATAAGGTTTATATAAGATCTGTAATTTCCGATTTTACTAGCATTTCATCGGCTATCCTGCCTATATATTACCTCTGCAAAGAAATTTCAGTTCTCTCATAGCTTAGTGGGTACCATGAGGTACATTTTACCTACAATGCTCTAGGTTCAAATCCCCTCTTTTGCTTTTTTGAGCCAACAAGAACATAATCTTATCTGGAAAAAAGGATTATATCAAATAAAAGTCTTATTTTAGGCTCATATAAGCATCCCCGGAGCCTTCCGCAAGGTTTATTCTTTTACCTATTTGGACGTTAAAGTATACATCAAACTTGATCCACTAGTATCACTACAAAGTTATCTATAACAGGTTACATGAGCTGCGATCATGTATGGGAGATAGACCAACTGAACCCCCGGTACCACCACCAAAACCTAATGCAGGGGTGAATACTGATGTAATATACTCTCTAGTAGCGCTGTGTAATGAATCTGGTAATGAATCGTTTTTGCTATTTAACGTTTCTTTGGGAACTGTGTGCTAGGAAAGCGACTATCTGTTTAGGGAAATGCCAATGCTAAGCAATAGTTATGTAGCTTTTAAATGATTTAATATTGTAGACTGAATTCCGCTCACTTGATGGTTGATGATCCCACTAAGTCGAGGCAGCACTATCTCATATTTATACATATTGGAACATATGTCAATGCCCGCTTTCTCATACTAATCAAATAACAATAATACACTAAAATAATCAACCCGAAGATAACCCGAATAGAAAAGTGCCCCCGCATAGTCCCGTTCTCCATTCAATTCCGATACGTAAACATGAAGCTTGCAAATGTCAGTCAACAAGCTGTATCATACAATTATCCTAGACATACTTCTCGAAGTAGAACAGCCTGCAGCTACAAACACCGCTTCCATTCTATTCCAGGTGAGTCACACATAAGTAAGCGTACAGTCATGATAGCCTAATCCTAGTGTAGTCTTACAACGTGCTCCCCCACTAGCTGATATATTCCTATACTTGTTCCTTAATTCCCCGACCATGGTCACATCACAACCCATCACTCGTTTTGTTCACTCTACTCCGCTTTTGCAGAGTGTTTTATTTTTTGTTTAATTCATCAATTGTATGTAGGCATTTGCACAGTGTCACTGGATTCCTATAACACTATCTGCTACGCATGCACTAAGGAAAACCTCTGAAAGGTTTGCAGTAGGATAATTACTAAAGATACTTCCGGTGGACATGGGTGTCCACCGGGCTCGTCTATATTATAAACAAACCTGTACGATAAGACTTAATAAAAACATCTTAACTCCCATAAATAAATTACTACTTGCTATTCACGTAACAATTGGTAGCAACACCAAGTTACTTAAATCAAAGATCGACTGACCTTTGTCGGTAAAAGCCCTGCAAGCGTCCTCATAAGGAATGAAAACAAGAGGTTACCCTACCCGTAAATCACAAACGCGTCTGGAAATAGATGCACCTTTTCTTCACCTCAACTCTCCCTACGTTATAATCCATCATAACTCTTCCGCCACTCAGACCAATCATCATTGCTTCCACATCATCGTTGCTCCTGCACTATCAGCATCTAGCTAAAAAATCAATTCTCTGCAAAACGCTACATGGACAATTCCATTACCTGGAATCATAAGAACCCCAGCAAGCATAATCGAAAAGCTAGGAGAGCTGTATTAGCACCACCTGCACTAGCACTACTATTGAACTCAAAGTAATAAGCTATTTTGCAAGAAGCCATTCCAGCCTTTGCTGTTTTATCAAAGCCAGAATCAGTTTCAACACACATCGAAGACTCCCAAGAGTCCACCTATACCTACACTTGTGGCTACGGAGAAAGATCTCCCGTATCTAGCTACCAGCCTTCCTATGCACCCTCAAACAATAGATCAGCAACCCCCACTGCTCCCATTTACCATCAGAGTAATTACTCTCCCTCCCTCTCTGTTGGTCACCCTACTTCTCAAGAGTTTCATGGATTGATTAGTTAATACACTGGGTTACGAGGAGTTGGATTAGGCAGAAAGATTCTATTGGGTTCTATCGGGTTTTGTCAATCGTTAATGCATGAGTCACTTTGGATTTGTTATCACGGGGATTTCCTTGGGTATATTAGGAGAGTTCACCTTCATTTCTTGTCGCTTTTCTTTCCTTTCTTTCTTTACGCAACGTCTTCTGTACCTACGCTGCCTATTACTATACAATATTATTATTTCCCTCTTCTTTACTCAAGAAGACCACCATTTTACTGCTCCCTTGTCCCGTTGACCCTTACCAATGCTAGAGTCCCTCAGAATACCTATTGCAAGTTCCCACACTGACCTCTACTACCCCCTTCGTACCCTACGGAATACTCACTACTCGCCCCCTTGAGAAAGAGCAAGAAGGGTACTACTCACCAACAAACACTCCAGTCAATTTGAGAAGTAATTTCTCCGAGACACTCATTTATATAACAATCCCCGAACCAGACCTCAACCCAGCTACACAAACGGTCATTCAAGCTAGACAGCAAGAAGACCACAACAGGAGAATCCACTGTGCATAGGCCTCCCATCGTCATATGAAGGCAAGGAATCATGCTAGGAGAAGGCATAATACTCTACCCTATACGCCTCTTCCCGACCCTAAGAGGAGAAGACTTTCGACTATATCACTATTCCTGCCCCATCCCTGAAAAGTTGAGGATCCTGAAGGCGTTAGGAAGAAAGAATCTGGCTCCAAAACAACGACCGCCAATTGGAGTCATTAGTGACTTAGCCCATATGGAGAACCATTACCTAGAAAACCTTAGCTTACCTATTTCAAATACACTATCTGTTTGGGGAAATGCAAATGCTAAGCAATTGTTCTGTAGCTTTTAAAGGATTTAATATTATAGATCGGGTTCTGCTCGCTTGATAGCTGATAATTTCACTAAGTCGGGCCAGAACCATTTCCTATTGATACATTTTGGAACCCATACCAAGGCCCGTATTCTAATACTAATAAAATAACGATGATAAAATAACACCATCCACTCAAAATTAACTCCAATAGAAAAGCGCCCCCGCATAGTCCCGTTCTCCATTCCAATTCTGACACATAATCTTGAATCTCGCAAATGTCTGTAACCGAACTCTATCATACTATTATTTCAAACATACTTCTCAAAGTATGACAGCCGGCAGCCATAAACCCTGATTCTTTTCCGTTCCAGGTGAGTTACCCTAATAGTAAAGGTTTCTTCACAATAGCCTGACCTAGTAGGGCAATGTCGGAGAGGATTTCGAGGTTGCCCGAGAACCGTCACCCCACAACCCCCGGCTCGGTAGCTATGGCTTGAACAGGACGACCCGAGTCCATTCCCATCATCAAGTATGCGCGTACAGGGGGTCATGATCGTGATTGCGGGGGCGGAGGTGGTGGTTGGGGGCTGTTGAGTAGGGTAACTCACTGTAAGTCTTGGCGACCCGTCCTGGTTCACTCCCGGCACCGCCACTCACCAGGCGGGTACAACGATCGATGACTGCATTACACCGAACGCACCGTCTTGAGCGTATGATTATGACGGTGCATGAAATTTAATGATGCCGCGTTTTCCCATCTTCTGCTTCGATGGAATACATAAATTTCGGATTCCGAACTGTGGGTTACCACATTGGGCGAATCCCACTATTTGTCTCCGTTGTCTTCTTACGCTCTCGAATTCTTTACTCCAGGTCACCGCTTTACTAAGTTTCAACGCTCGTAACCCTAACTACCCACATCCAGGTTCCAACCACCACCAAATACACATTCAACTATTTCATTTTTACCGAACATCGTATTTTGTAAATGTAACCAAATTAGATTTGAACGCTCATAACCCTAACTACCCAAATTCAGGGTCCAACCACCACCAAATACACATTGATCTATTTCATTTTGACCGAAAATTGTATTTTGTACACGTAACAAAATCAGATTTCAACGCTCGTAACCCTAACTACCCACGAGTAGGTTTCAACCACCACCAAATACACATTGATCTATTTCATTTTGACAGAAAATTGTATTTTGTACACGTAACAAAATCAGATTTCAACGCTCGTAACCCTAACTACCCAAGAGTAGGTTTCAACCACCACCAAATACACATTGATCTGCTACATTTCGATCAAAAATTGAATTTTGTACCAATAGAATAACATAACGACCTGAAGAAAAACAGATAGAAAAGTGTCACTTCAGTATTCTGTCCTACATTCTAATTCCGATACGTAACCATGAAGGTTGCAATTACCAGTCTTCGGGCTATATCGTATTATTGTTCTAGACACTACTGAGCAATATTGAATCGCTGGATAGATATGCATGTCTACTAGGACAACATGTAAAGCAAACACTAATGCTGAAATTGGTTACTACTGTTTGTGATAGCCTGAGAGGTATAAATATCAATCGAAACAGAAACTGCATCAGAGTTTGCAATTGAGATTTGTTGGTATGGTTTGCTATGATTCGATTTGTATGCACACTTGTTGTGACAGAATGTAAATCAGGTATACTAAATAAGATTTGTGAGAATTTTTGGCAATCGCTTGATACGTATGCATACAAATCGGAATGGCAAGTAAAGTGTATACCGATAAGAAAAGCTTTCTGTATGATGTTTCAACACTAAATAGGAGTCGATACCTGTCAGAAAAATATTCGAATCAGTAATTAGCAGTGAAATTGGTTGATATCATTAATAATTGGTTCATACTTATACGTTTTTATCAGAACAGCAAATTTAACAGTTATTGACAAACAAAACCTTTTGTATTATTTACAATCCTTTGATAGGTATGTATCAGGACAGCGAGTGTATCAGAAATTGAAATTCTCATTTGTGACAATCGTTTATGAAGGTTTGAAAGCTATGAAGATTTATTGGCACAGTAAAATACTGAAATTGATACTCAATGTATTTGATGGCTTGATTGGTATACCATGTTCTGGATCAACATTGAATAGATTGAATACTGCACTACGGTTTGCAAAATATCTTCTCCCAAAACACGAGATTGCAGCTTTCCAATCCATTCTGAAATATATACAATCCATGATCATATTCTGAAATATATACAATCTATGATCATATTCTGAACTTGAGAGTAGACAATATTCAGCACTTATCTCTAAAACTCATTGTTTTAATTGATAACAGTCTTCATAAAGTGTATCCTGATATTTTGTATTTTTGTAAATGGGTAGGAATTTGACAATGTCCGCAAGATAACATCTCTTGCACCTCACCTACCTATGAACAGTATGCGCCCGAATTCCCCCAAGCCTTTAGAATTAGGATTATGGGTGGTTTTGATTGAGAATGTCATATTTGAGCTGACTGACGGTCAGTATCGCACTCAATGGCTTGAGCGTTCTCAGTGTAACCCAATTCAGATCCTAAAACCTTATCCGATTTCATGGATCGATTGAATAATATAGTAGGTTACGAAGGGTCGAATTTATCAGAAAAATTCTATGGATTTCTACAAGATTCCGTCGAGTTTAAGGGTATGAGTCACTTTGGATTTGTGATTGCTAAGCTTTCTTTATGTATATTAAGGGGCTTTGCCCTCCATTCTATTCTCTTTCCCTCTCTTTTCTTCTCTTTCTTTTGGTACGCAAAAGCTTAGGTAATTTACGCTGGCTATTGCTATTCAAGTATTATTTTTTTTTCCTTTATAAGGAGGCCATCTCACTTCTCTGACCTTAACACCGCTAGCCCTGAACCACCGGAAGCTCCCTCACCCCCCCCCACCGACCAACCTACCAGCCCCTATGACCATCTCCTGTGCACTGCGGAATACTCGCTGCCCAACTCCCTAGGATTACGTTGCGTCGTAATCTGCACCATACGCCGTGTCCACCCCCAACTGACCTACATAGATCTCATCTAACCAAATCGAGCAGTTTAACCATCAGTACGAATAGAATACTGCTGCGCTGTTTGACCACCTCCCTACTATTTTTTGAAGCATCCGACACGAGAGGGATAGTGCTCGTACACTGCTCTCCGCCGCCCACAAAACCATTGACTACCTGGAAGAGTAAGTAATACAGGTCGACCTTGACCTCAATATTGACCACACCGTCCCCACCCCCAATGTTCCTATCCCCATTTTCGCTGCTACTGCACCAACCACTGTCTCCATGATTGGGTCTGAAACGTTCCCTGAAAAGTTCGATGGCATCCGGACCAAAATCCTCGGATTCGTTACCCAACTCTGAATGAAGCTCGAAGTGAACCATAATCGGTCCCGCAATGGGGCAGCGGAGGTTATCCATGCGGTCAGCTGTTTGGAGGGAGGGGCCCTTGATCAGGTCATACAACTTGTTAATGCCAATCCTGCTGACTTCTTTTCCTCCGTCACCTTCTTCGTCACCCATATGGAAGGCTCATTTAGAGAACTAAACACTCGAAGTACCAACCACCGCCAACTCGTCCCCCTGAGGCGAGGCAAAGGAGACTTTGCCACCTACTACTCTCAGTTCATCAGAAACATGTCCCACTTATATTACAACATGGGAGTCAACATTGATGAATTGCCGGAAAGATTGTCGGACAACTTTAGAGACGTCATGACATATCGAACGGACAGACCCAATATGGTGGAAGCATATACGACCATGTCAGTGACGATCGACAACCACATGTAATTGACGTGCTATGATGAAACACAACCGTGACTCTGTTTCGAATAGTGTAAATAAAGAGAGCGAGATTTGATGATACTCATTCAGAAAGAAGAAAATGGAGTTTGTATGTTTGAACGTTCTCAAGTCTAGAAAATTATAACTTTAAGGGGTCTTCTCTCTATTAAAGATCCGTTGATGATGAGAGGTCAACCTAGGGCAACACCGAGTGGCTTATAAGAACATGTCGCGTTTGGTCAAGTTCTTTTTCCGACTGACAGTTTGCCTGTTGATAGTCGGGGGTACACCAATGATTTTCTATCAGGGGAGAGGAGAGTAACTACGACACCTTGAATGAACCCCTGTCCGAGTCAAATCATGCAATTTGCCGAAAGCTGTGGTTGGAATCTTAAGAACTATTGGAAACAGCCGACCAGATAATAATTGTTTATTCTAACTTTATTAGAACCGATTTGGGTGTTTGTAAACCGAAGTTTTGCTTTAGTAGCTTGAGTTGTACTCCCACTCCCCAAAGATGCTCCGGAGCAAAACAGGAGCATTCCGGCAGTTTGACACTGCGGAGGTTAGGGTTGGGGATTAAAACGTGTTTTTGGAATTAGATTTTCCATTAGCTCCCGGACACCGCCAGAATCATTTCTTTAGTGCTAAAGCATGGTCTTTGAGCGTCGGTTGCAGAGATATGAAACCTCAAAGATTCGACTGCATAGGTAGGAAACTCCCGTCCTGGGTTCCCTGTGCTATCAGCCATCTTTGTACTTCTGTTCCAGGCTTGCTCAGCCCCCTATTTTTGACTTGTAAGACTTCTTACTCATTGAGATCACTGTCCTCTATACCACTAAAGGTAGGAGCCTAACTGCCCTTATCTTCACGCGTCGATGAAGAACAAGCTGCTGTTACTTTGGGACCGTGGCTTAACTGATGGAATAGGTTCTTTTGTAACAGCCTGATAGTGGCGTTGTTACATTACTCCCCTCTATTGTAGACTCGTTTTGAGTCCACTGTAGTGTTATTGGAACATTAGTATTTGGCATAGAAGAAAAACTGTAGCTCTATTGGTGATTAAGTACAAACTACATCTATGTTTCTATCTCTATCAGAGAAAGAAAACTCTAACATGAAATGCCTTTTAAAAACAAAGAAAATGACATATTCTCCACTCTTGTCGGAGAGCTTTCCGTTCCACTAGTAGGAGTTTTGATGTTAGCAAGAATCTTTCTTTTTCCCTTGTCTTTTTGAGGCGGGTTTCCTCATACCTTTGTTTTCTCTCGTTTCTTGCATTGTTTTCAGGGAAAGATTGTATCCGAGCTCTCTCAGACCGATGAAAAACCTAGTACAGGAGAGTTGGTTTTTGTTCCCGGAATTCTTCTGGGATACAGAGCTACTTACGTCGTGTTTTGAGGATCCCTAGAGTTTCACTGTATTTTCCGAGGTTTTTGCGGGTATTTTTGATGAAATTCTTTCATGGCCTCGTCGGCACTTCCTTGCAGAATTTCGTATGGTTCCTAGGAGTCTTCCGAACGATAACCCTCCCAAACAATACGATACTCTACAAACATTTTCTAATGCCCAGCCTGTTGCCATCGGCTATTAGCTATTTCTTGGAGAGCGTAACTGTATTCTCCTTCGACCTCATCTGGAGTAGGAGGGACTTCAGTGCGTTGAGGGTATCTCAGTCCCCGATAGGACTCCAGCAGGAATATTTGGAAGTCATCATGAATGTTCCACTGAGAGGGAAGCTTCCGCCTGTAGAACGCGACAATAAGTTTCTCATCAACCTCAAAGAGACCAGGTTTCTTGTAGTCAAGCTTGCTTGAGGGTCGATCGGCAACCACATTGCGTCGGTCCATCATCACCTTATCCAAATCTTAAGGTTCTGGAGCATTCATATGCTTCTGGTCATACCATTTCTTCTGCCGGGCCTGTGCCTTAAAAATATCAGTCCTCATAGTTTTCCAAAGAGCTTTCCACTTGAACTTTAGTAAGGCGCTGGAAACATTGGCATTATCCAGCTTCCTTCTGCGCGAATGCCAATCGGAATCAGGCTCGAACCCATAGTTCGCGTAGAACTGAGATATTTTAGTGGAGTATTGGGTTGCCGTTTTGTAGGCGTACTGTGCAAGCGGCAGTAACCCTGCCCAATCGTCCTACTATTAGGACCAAACGTTTCTGAAATATGCTCTAGCGTTTGATTGACCCTCTCAGTTCACCTGTCAGCTTGAGGACGATATGCCTTAGACAGACAAAGGTTGACTCCGAGAAGCTTGATCAATGAATGCCAGAACTTGCTTTCGAATCTGAAGTCCCGATCAGAAATGATTACTTCGGATAGTCCATGTAGTCGCCATATGTCTTGAAGGAATATATGCGAAAGTTCCTTGATTGTTGCCTCGGTCTTGAGCAGTATGAAGTAGGTAATTTTTGTAAAGCGTCCAAAAATAAACGCGATACGGGTATAGGCTTCAGATTCTGGCAAACTAACGAAAAAGTCCATAGAAATGGAGCTGCAAGGAGTATTGGGGACCTCTAAATGTGGTAGCATCCTGTACTTTTCATGACTGGAGCTTTTATTGCTTTGACATGTATCGCAACTCCATATGTATTCTCCCATATCATTGTCCATCTTTGGGCAAAAGAACAGTGCCCGAAGATGCTCTGTAGTTTTGAATTGACCCAAGTGGCTTGAGGGCTTCGAATCATGTAGGACGGTCATGATTTTTGGTTTGAGCTCTCGGTGATTTGGGATGTACCATCGTTTCTTCTGAAAGACATCACCGTCTCTCAAAGTTAGGTTTCGGTCGACTGCCTTACCGAAGGTGTGCTTCACAGCCTGCTCCAAGGAGAATTACTCAGGGTCTGAAGCTGCATGAGGCCGGATTTTGTCCAGAAGCACCGGTGTGAGTATGCAGACCTGAGGTGATTTTGGCCATTATGATTTGATCATAACGGTTGGTGGTTGTACAGAAACCATTCTGCTAGGGCAACTCGGGACAGGATTCTAGTAGTGGAATGTCGGACAGGATTTTGAGGTTGCCCGGGAACCGTCGCCCCACAATTCCGGGCTCCGTGGATATGGGTCGAACAGGACGACCCGAGTCCATTCCCATCATCAGGTATGCGCGTACAGGGGGTCGTGGTCGTGATTGCGGGGGCGGAGGTGGTGGTTGGGGGCCGTTGAGTAGGGTAACTCACTGTGAGTCTTGGCAACCCATCCTGGTTCACTCCCGGCATCGCCACTCACCGGGCGGGTACAACGATCGATGACTGCATGGCACCGAATGCACCGTCTCGAGCCCACGATCATGACGGCACAGAAAATTCAATGATGCCGCGTTTCCCCATCCTCTGTTTCGATGGAATACATAAATTTCGGATTCCGAACTGCGGGTTACCGCATTGGGCGAATCCCACTTCGACGCTCGTAACCCTAACCGCCAACAGCCAGGTACAAATCACCACCAAATACAGATTTATGTATTTCATTTTGACCGAAAACCGTATTCTCTAACCCTAACCAAAATCCCACTTCGACGCTCGTAACCCTAACCGCCAACAGCCAGGTACAAACCACCACCAAATACAGATTTATGTATTTCATTTCTGCCGAAAATTCTATTTTGCACACCTAACCGAACCAGATGGCAATGCTCGTAACCCTAACCGCCAACAGCCAGGTTTAAACCACCTCGTAATACAGATTCATGCATTTCATTTTGACCGAAAACCGTATTCTCTAACCCTAACCAAAATCCCACTTCAACGCTCGTAACCCTAACTACCCACATCCAGGTTTCAACCACCACAAAATACACATTGTATTTCATTTTGACCGAGCATTGTATTTTGTACATGTAACCAATTCAGATTTGAACGCTCATAACCCTAACTACCCATATTCAGGTTCCAACCACCACCAAATACACATTCAAGTATTTCATTTTGACCGAACATTGTATTTTGTACATGTAACCAATTCAGATTTGAACGCTCATAACCCTAACTACCCACATCCAGGTTCCAACCACCACTAAATACACATTCAAGTGTTTCATTTTGACCGAACATTGTATTTTGTACACGTAAGCAAACCAACTTTCAACGCTCGTAACCCTAACCGCCAACAGCCAGGTTTAAACCACCTCGTAATACAGATTCATGCATTTCATTTTGACCGAAAACCGTATTCTCTAACCCTAACCAAAATCCCACTTCAACGCTCGTAACCCTAACTACCCACATCCAGGTTCCAACCACCACCAAATACACATCCAAGTATTTCATTTTGACCGAACATTGTATTTTGTACACGTAAGCAAACCAACTTTCAACGCTCGTAACCCTAACCGCCAACAGCCAGGTTTAAACCACCTCGTAATACAGATTCATGTATTTCATTTTGACCGAAGATTGTATTTTGTACACATAACCAAACCAACTTTCAACGCTCGTAACCCTAACCGCCAACAGCCAAGTTTACACCACCTCGTAATACAGATTCATGCATTTCATTTTGACCGAACATTGTATTTTGTACATGTATTCAATTCAGATTTGAACGCTCATAACCCTAACTACCCATATTCAGGTTCCAACCACCACCAAATACACATTGATCTGTTACATTTTGACTAAAAATTGAATTTTGTACCAATAGAATAACAACGACCTGAAGAAAAATAGATAGAAAAGTGTCACTTCAGTATTCTGTCCTACATTCTAATTCCGATACGTAACCATGAAGGTTGCAATTACCAGTCTTCGGGTTATATAGTATTATTGTTCTAGACACTACTGAGCAATATTGAATCGCTGGATAGATATGCATGTCTACTAGGACAACATGTAAAGCAAACACTAATGCTGAAATTGGTTACTACTGTTTGTGATAGCCTGAGAGGTATAAATATCAATCGAAACAGAAACTGCATCAGAGTTTGCAATTGAGATTTGTTGGTATGGTTTGCTATGATTCGATTTGTATGCACACTTGTTGTGACAGAATGTAAATCAGGTATACTAAATAAGATTTGTGAGAATTTTTGGCAATCGCTTGATACGTATGCATACAAATCGGAATGGCAAGTAAAGTGTATACCGATAAGAAAAGCTTTCTGTATGATGTTTCAACACTAAATAGGAGTCGATACCTGTCAGAAAAATATTCGAATCAGTAATTAGCAGTGAAATTGGTTGATATCATTAATAATTGGTTCATACTTACTAAAGGTACGCCACCTCGCGACCCTGAGGTCCCCTTCTCTCCCACCTATGTGTAGTATCTAGGCACCTCCAGTAATTAGTTAATTTTGTGTTTGCCGTCTCATGTTCTGTTTTCCCGGCCATGTCACATAAATGCCTAAATCTTGTTCTGGAGATCAATTTCCGATTTTCAATGCCAGGTCCAGTGCCAGCTCTAATGCCCACTCTGGTGCGAGCTAAAATCAAGGTCAGCCCCAGTGTCAGCTTCGGTGTCGGCTCAAATATATGCCAGCTCTAGCTGGAGCCGCCCGAATGCCATCTCTAATGCCCACTCCAGTCCCAGCTCCATTAGATGCCGGCTCCAGTGCCAGCTCAGATACATGCCAGCTCCAGTGCCCGCTTCTCTGCAAGCTCCAGTGCCCGCTTCTCTGCAAGCTCCAGTGCCCGCTTCGCTTCCAGCTCCAGTACCAGCTCTGATGCCGCTCCGGTGGCAGCTCCGGTACCCGCTCCAGTACCCGCTCCGGTGCCAGCTCCGGTGCCAGCTCTAACCCTCACTCCTGTGCCCGCTCTTGTGCCCACTCCTGTTCCCGCTCATGTTCCTGCTCGTCTTCCCGCTCTTGTGTCCGCTCCGGTGATGGCTCGAGTGACTACTCCGGCGTTCGCCTCGATGCCAGCTCCTGTGCCAGCTCCAATGCCAGCTCCAGTGCCAGCTCTGATATATTCCAGCTCCCTTCACCATTCCTCCACCAGACTGGCACCTCCTCTTCCGCTCTTACTGGTCTTCCCTCTCCCTCTTCGCACTCCCCGCCAACTACTGTTCGTCTCTCTCGCCTATTCTGCTCATATTTGACTACTAAATAGCTATATTTATTATTTAATCATAAAGGGTTCCGTTGGTTGGGCTGGTCTCATAGGTAAGGTCAGGGTTAGGGTTTGGGCTTGGCAGGAAAATGTGCAGGGTAACGGCCCTGAGCAGGCAGGGTAACGCCCAAAAAAGGTAGGGTAACGCACAAAAAAGGTAGGGTTACACACAAAAAAGGTAGGGTAACAACTCAGAGCAGGCAGGACAACCGCACTAATCGGGTAGAGTAACCATCTCAAAATAGGCAGGGTAACAGAACAAAATCGGGCAGGGTAACTGCACCAAACACACGAATTTGATGTGTCGTGCTTACAAAACACCCCTGTCGCTGTCAACCAATCAGATTGTAGCAATCTCAGAAGAATTATATTCCAGTACGTATTAGATACATTCTTATCAGAACAGCAAATTTAACAGTTATTGACAAACAAAACCTTTTGTATTATTTACAATCCTTTGATGAGTATGTATCAGAACAGCGAGTGTATCAGAAATTCAAATTCTCATTTGTTACAATCGTTCATGAAGGTTTGAAAGCTATGAATATTTATTGGCAGAGTAAAATACTGAAATTGATACTCAATGTATTTGATGGCTTGATTGGTATACCATGTTCTGGATCAATATTGAATAGATTGAATACTGCACTACGGTTTGCAAAATATCTTCTCCCAAAACACGAGGTTGCGGCTTTCCAATCCATTCGGAAATATATACAATGTATGATCATATTCTGAACTTGAGAGTGAACAATATTCAGCACTTATCTCTAAAACTCATTGTTTTAATTGATAACAGTCTTCATAACATGTATCCTGATATTTTGTATTTTGTAAAAGGGTAGGAATTTGACGATGTCTGCAAGATAACATCTGTTCCACCTCACCTACCTATTAACAGTATGCGCCCAAATTCCCCCAAGCCTTTAGAATTAGGATTATGAATGCTTTTGATTGAGAATGTCATATTTGAGCTGAGTGGCGATCAGTATAGCACTCAATTGCTTGAACGTTCTCAGTGTAACCCAATTCAGATCCTAAAACCTTGTCCGATTTCATAGATCGATTGAATAATATAGTAGGTTACAAAGGGTCGAATTGATCAGAAAACTTCTATGGATTTCTAGAAGTTTCCGTCGATTTTAAGGGTATGAGTTACTTGAGATTTATGATTGCTAAGCTTTCTTTATGTATATTAAGGGGCTTTGCCCTCCATTCTATTCTTTTTCCCTCTCTTTTCTTCTCTTTCTTTTGGTACGCAAAGGCTTAGGTAATCTACGCTGGTTATTGCTATTCAAGTACTACTTTCTCTTCCTTTATAAGGAGGCCATCTCACTTCTCCGACCTTCCCACCGCTAGACCTAAACTACTGTAAGTTTCTCCAACCCCTCTCGCTGATTAACCTACCAGCCCCTATGACCATGTCCCGTACCCTGCGGAATACTCGCTACCCAACTCACTAGGATTACGTTGCATCGTAATCCGCACCATACGCCATGTCCACCCTCAACCGACCTACATGGGTCTCATCTAACAAAATCGAGTAGTTTAACAATCAGTACGAATAGAATACTGCTGCCCTGTTTGACCACCTCCCTACTATCTTTTAAAGCATCCGACACGAGAGGGATAGTGCTCGTACACTGCTCTCCGCCTTCCACAAAACCATTGGCTACCTGGAAGAGCAAGTAATACAGGTCAACCTTGACCTCAATGTTGACCACACCACCTCCGCCCCCAATGTTCCTATCCCCATTTTCGCTGCTACTGCACCAACCACTGTCTCCACCTTTGGGTCTGAAACTTTCCCCGAAAAGTTTGATGGCATCCGGACCAAAATCTCCGGATTCGTTACCCAACTCCGAATGAAGCACGAAGTCAACCATAATCGGTTCCGCAATGGGACAGCAAAGGTTATCCATGCGGTCAGCTGTTTGGAGGGAAGAGCTCTTGATCAGGTAATACAACTTGTTAACGCCAATCCTGCTGACTTCTTTTCCTCCGTCACCTTCTTTGTCGCCCAGATGAAAGGCTCATTTAGAGACCTAAATACCTAAAGTACCATCCACCGCCAACTCGTCCCCCTGAGGCAAGGCAAAGGAGACTTTGCCACCTACTACTCGCAGTTTATCAGAAACATGTCTCACTTGCATTACAATAAAGGGGTCAAGATTGACGAATTGGCGGAAAGATTGTCTGACAACTTTAGAGACGTCATGACCTATCGAACAGACAGACCCAATATGGTGGAAGCATATGCGACCATGTCAGTGACGATCGATAAAAACATGTGACTGAGGTACTACGATGAGGCACAACCGTGATTTGCTTTCGAATAGTGTAAATAAAGAGAGCGAGTTTTGATGATACTCGTTCAGAAAGAATAAAAGGGAGTTTGTATGTTTGAACGTTCTCAAGTCTAGAAAATTATAACTTTAAGGGGTCTTCTCTCTATTAAAGATCCGTTGATGATGAGAGGCCAACCTGCGGCAACACCGAGTCCCTTATAGGAATACGGCGCATTTGCTCAAGTTCTTTTTCCGACTGACAGTCTGCCTATTGATAGTCAGGGGTACAGCAACTATTTTCTATCAGGGGAGAGGAGAGTAACTACGACACCTTGGATGAACTTCTGTCTGAGTCAAATCATTCAATTTGCAGAAATCTGTGGTTGGAATCTCAAGAACTATTGGAAACAGCCGACCAGATAATAATTGTTTATTCTAACTTTATTAGAACCGATTTGGGTGTTTGTAAACCGAAGTTTTGCTTTAGTAGCTTGAGTCGCACTCCCACTCCCCAAAGATACTCTGGAGCAAAACAGGAGCATTCCGGCAGTTTGACACTGCGGAGGTTAGTGTTGGGGATTAAAACGTGTTTTTGGAATTAGATTTTCCATTAACTCCGGGACACCGCCAGAATCATTTCTGTCGTGCTAAAGCATGGTCTTTCGGCATCGGTTGGAGATATATGAAACCTGAAAGATTCGACTGCCTAGGTAGGGAACTGCCGTCCGGGGTTCCCTGTGCTATCAGCCATCTTTGTACTTCTGTTCCAGGCTTACTCGGCCCCCTATTTTTGATTTGTAATACTTCTTACTCATTGAGATCACTGTCCTCTATACCAATAAAGGTAGGAGCCTAACTGCCCTAATCTTCACGCGTCGATGAAGAACAAGCTGCTGTTACTTTGGGTCGGTGGCTTAACTGATGGAATAGGTTCTCTTGTAACAGCCTGATAGTGGCCTTGTTACATTACTCCCCTCTATTGTAGACTCGTTTTGAGTCCACTGTAGTGTTATTGGAATATTAGTATTTGGCATAAAAGAAAAACTGTAGCTCTATTGGTGATTACGTACAAATTACATCTCTGTTTCTATTTCCATCAGAGAAAGAAAACTCTAATATGAAATGCCTTTTAAAAACAAAGAAAATGACATATTCTCCACTCTTGTCATAGAACCTTTCGTCCCACTAGTGGAGATTTCGAGGTTAGCAAGAATCTCTCTTTTTCCCTTGTCTTTTTTATGCGGGTTTCCTCACGCTTCGGTTTTCTATCGTTTCTTGCATTGTTTTCAGGGAAAAATGGTATCCGAACTCTGTCAGACCGATGAAAAACCTGGTACAGGAGAGTTGGTTTTTGTTCCCGGATTTCTTCTGGGATACAGAGCTACTCACGCCGTGTTTTGAGGATCCATAAAGTTTCCCCGTATTTTCCGATGTTTTTGCGGGTATTTTTGATGAAATACTTTCAGGGCCTCATCGGCTCTTCCTTGCAGAATTTCATATGGTTCCCAGGAGTCTTCCGAACGATAGCCCTCCCAAACAATGCGATACTCTACAAACACTTTCGAATGCCTAGCATATTGCCATCTGCTATTAGCTATTTGTCGGAGAACGTGACTGTATTCTCCTTCGACCTCATCTGGAGTAGGAGGGACTTCAGTGCGTCGAGTGTATTTCAGTCCCAAATAGGACTCCAGCAGAAATATTTGGAAGACGGCATGAATGTTCCATTAAGAGGGAAGCTTCAGCGTGTAGAACGCAACAACAAGTTTCTCATCAACCTCAAAGAGACATAGTTTCTTGTAGTCAAGCTTGCTTGAGGGTCGATTGGCAACCATATTGCGTCGGTCCATCATCACCTTATCCCCATCTTCAGGTTCTGGAGGTTTCATATGCTTCTGGTCATACCATTTCTTCTGCCGGGCCTGTGCCTTAAAAATATCTGTCCTCATAGTTTTCCAAAGAGCTTTCCACTTGAACTTTGGTACGGGACTGGAAACATTGGCATTGTCCAGCTTCCTTCTGCGCGAATGCCAATCGGAATCAGGCTCGAACCCATAGTTCGCGTAGAATTGAGATACTTTAGTGGACTATTGGGTTGCCGTTTTGTAGGCGTACTGTGCAAGCGGCAGTAACCCTGCCCAATCGTCCTACTGGTAGGACCAAAAGTTTCTGAAATATTGCTCTAGCGTTTGATTGACCCTCTCAGTTCACCTGTCAGCTTGGGGACGATATGCCGTAGACAGACAAAGGTTGACTCCGAGAAGCTTGATCAATGAATGCCAGAACTTGCTTTCGAATCTGAAGTCCCGATCAGAAATGAATAATTCGGATAGTCCATGTAGTCGGCATATTTCTTGAAGGAATATCTGCGAAAGTTCCTTGATTGTTGCCTCGGTCTTGAGCGGTATGAAGTAGGTGATTTTTGTCAAGCGTTCAACAATAACCCCGATACGGGTATAGGCTTCAGATTCTGGCAAACTAACGAAAAAGTCCATAGAGATGGAGCTGCAAGGAGTATTGGGGACCTCTGAATATGGTAGCATCCTGTACTTTTCATGACTGGAGCTTTTATTGCTTTGACATGTATCGCAACTCCATACGTATTCTCCCATATCATTGTCCATCTTTGGGCAAAAGAACAGTGCCCGAAGATGCTCTGCAGTTTTGAATTGACCCATGTGGCTTGTGGGCTTCGAATCATGTAGGGCGCTCATGATTTTTGGTTTGAGCTCTCGGTGATTTGGGATGTAGCATCTTTTCTTCTAAAAGACATCACCGTGTCTCAAAGTTAGGTTTCGGTCTACTGTCTTACCGAAGGTGTGATCCACAGCCTCTTCCGAGGAGAATTACTTAGGGTCTGAAGCTGAATGAGGCCGGATTTTATCCAGAAGCACCGGTGTGAGTTTGCAGACCTGAGGTGACTTTGGGCGTTAAGATTTGATCGTAACGGTTGGTGATTGTACAGAAACCATTTTGCTAGGGCAACTTAGGACACGATTGTTCGGTTGGGCGAGAACCGTACCCGTACAATTCCCGATTCCGTTGCTATACGTTGGCCAAAACGAATAGAATTCATCAGCATCGTCAGGTATGTGGGTAAAAGGCAACATGATTGTGATATCTGGAGTGGAGGTAGTGGGTGGGGGCTGTTGAGTGTTAGCTCGGGTGACCTAGTGCTAGGGGTAGATAGGGTTAACTGGGATGACAGGCCAAATACGGGTTACAGGCCAAATCAGGGTTAACTAGGGTTAGCTAGGGTTAACTAGGGTTACGGGCCGAACTAGGGTTAACTAGGGTTAACTAGGGTTAACTAGGGTTACGGGCCGAACTAGGGTTAACTAGGGTTAGCTAGGGTTACGGGCCGAACTAGGGTTAACTAGGGTTAGCTAGGGTTACGGGCCGAACTAGGGTTAACTAGGGTTAGCTAGGGTTACGGGCCGAACTAGGGTTAACTAGGGTTAACTAGGGTTACGGGCCGAACTAGGGTTAACTAGGGTTAGCTAGGGTTAGCTAGGGTTACGGGCCGAACTAGGGTTAACTAGGGTTAACTCTAGTAGTCGAATGTCGGACAGGATTTTGAGGTTGCCCGGGAACCGTCGCCCCACAATTCCGGGCTCCGTGGCTATGGGTCGAACAGGACGACCCGAGTCCATTCCCATCATCAGGTATGCGCGTACAGGGGGTCGTGGTCGTGATTGCGGGGGCGGAGGTGGTGGGTGGGGGCCGTTGAGTAGGGTAACTCACTGTGAGTCTTGGCGACCCGTCCTGGTTCACTCCATCACCGAGACTCACAACAATCGACAACTGCACCGTACCGAGCGTGCATTCTCTATCCTATAATCATGACAGCGTTCAAAACTGAATCATCCCGTGTTTCCCCATCTTGCGGTTCGATGAAATACACGCATTTAGGATTCTGAACCCCGGGTTACCGCATTGGGCGAATACCACTTCGACGCTCGTAACCCTAACCGCCAACAGCCAGGTACAAACCACCACCAAATACAGATTTATGTATTTCATTTCTGCCGAAAATTCTATTTTGCACACCTAACCGAACCAGATGGCAATGCTCGTAACCCTAACCGCCAACAGCCAGGTTTAAACCACCTCGTAATACAGATTCATGCATTTCATTTTGACCGAAAACCGTATTCTCTAACCCTAACCAAAATCCCACTTCAAGGCTCGTAACCCTAACTACCCACATCCAGGTTCCAACCACCACCAAATACACATTCAAGTATTTCATTTTGACCGAAGATTGTATTTTGTGCACGTAACCAAACCAACTTTCAACGCTCCTAACCCTAACTACCCACATCCAGGTTTCGACCACCACCAAATACACATTGTATTTCATTTTGACCGAGCATTGTATTTTGTACATGTAACCAATTCAGATTTGAACGCTCATAACCCTAACTACCCATATTCAGGTTCCAACCACCACCAAATACACATTCAAGTATTTCATTTTGACCGAACATTGTATTTTGTACATGTAAGCAAACCAACTTTCAACGCTCGTAACCCTAACCACCAACAGCCAGGTTTAAACCACCTCGTAATACAGATTCATGTATTTCATTTTAACCGAAGATTGTACTTTGTACACTTAACCAAACCAACTTTCAACGCTCGTAACCCTAACCGCCAACAGCCAAGTTTACACCACCTCGTAATACAGATTCATGCATTTCATTTTGACCGAAAACCGTATTCTCTAACCCTAACCAAAATCCCACTTCAACGCTCGTAACCCTAACTACCCACATCCAGGTTCCAACCACCACCGAATACACATTCGTTTCATTTTGACCGAACATTGTATTTTGTACATGTAAGCAAACCAACTTTCAACGCTCGTAACCCTAACCGCCAACAGCCAGGTTTAAACCACCTCGTAATACAGATTCATGTATTTCATTTTGACCGAAGATTGTACTTTGTACACATAACCAAACTAACTTTCAACGCTCGTAACCCTAACCGTCAACAGCCAAGTTTACACCACCTCGTAATACAGATTCATGCATTTCATTTTGACCGAAGATTGTATTTTGTACACATAACCAAACCAACTTTCAACGCTCGTAACCCTAACCGCCAACAGCCAAGTTTACACCACCTCGTAATACAGATTCATGCATTTCATTTTGACCGAACATTGTATTTTGTACATGTAATCAATTCAGATTTGAACGCTCATAACCCTAACTACCCACATCCAGGTTCCAACCACCACCAAGTACACATTCAAGTGTTTCATTTTGACCGAACATTGTATTTTGTACACGTAAGCAAACCAACTTTCAACGCTCCTAACCCTAACTACCCACATTCAGGTTTCAACCACCACAAAATACACATTGTATTTCATTTTGACCGAGCATTGTATTTTGTACATGTAACCAATTCAGATTTGAACGCTCATAAACCTAACTACCCATATTCAGGTTCCAACCACCACCAAATACACATTCAAGTATTTCATTTTGACCGAAGATTGTATTTTGTGCACGTAACCAAACCAACTTTCAATGCTCCTAACCCTAACTACCCACATCCAGGTTTCGACCACCACCAAATACACTGTATTTCATTATGACCGAACATTGTATTTTGTACATGTAACCAATTCAGATTTGAACGCTCGTAACCCTAACTACCCACATCCAGGTTTTAACCACCACCAAATACACATTGATCTGTTACATTTTGACCAAAAATTGAATTTTGTACCAATAGAATAACAACGACCTGAAGAAAAATAGATAGAAAAGTGTCACTTCAGTATTCTGTCCTACATTCTAATTCCGATACGTAACCATGAAGGTTGCAATTACCAGTCTTCGGGTTATATAGGATTATTGTTCTAGACACTACTGAGCAATATTGAATCGCTGGATAGATATGCATGTCTACTAGGACAATATGTAAAGCAAACACTAATGGTGAAATTGGTTACTACTGTTTGTGATAGCTTGAGAGGTATAATATCAATCGAAACAGAAACTGCATCACAGTTTGAAATTGAGATTTGTTGGTATGGTTTGCTATGATTCGATTTGTATGCACACTTGTTGTGACAGAATGTAAATCAGGTATACTAAATAAGATTTGTGAGAATTTTTGGCAATCGCTTGATACGTATGCATACAAATCGGAATGGCAAGTAAAGTGTATACCGATAAGAAAAGCTTTCTGTATCATGGTTGAATACTAAATAGGAGTCGATACCTGTCAGGAAAATTTTCGAATCAGTAATTAGCAGTGAACTTGGTTGATATCATTAATAATTGGTTCATACTTACTAAAGGTACGCCACCTCGCGACCCTGAGGTCCCCTTCTCTCCCACCTATGTGTAGTATCTAGGCACCTCCAGTAATTAGTTAATTTTGTGTTTGCCGTCTCATGTTCTGTTTTCCCGGCCATGTCACATAAATGCCTAAATCTTGTTCTGGAGATCAATTTCCGATTTTCAATGCCAGGTCCAGTGCCAGCTCTAATGCCCACTCCGGTGCGAGCTAAAATCAAGGTCAACCCCAGTGTCAGCTTCGGTCTCGACTCAAATATATTCCAGCTCTAGCCGGAGCCGCCCGAATGCCATCTCTAATGCCCACTCCAGTGCCAGCTCCATTAGATGCCGGCTCCAGTGCCAGCTCAGATACATGCCAGCTCCAGTGCCCGCTTCGCTTCCAGCTCCAGTACCAGCTCTGATGCCGCTCCGGTGGCAGCTCCGGTACCCGCTCCAGTACCCGCTCTGGTGCCAGCTCCGGTGCCAGCTCTAACCCTCACTCCTGTGCCCGCTCTTGTGCCCACCCCTGTTCCCGCTCATGTTCCTGCTCGTCTTCCCGCTCTTGTGTCCGCTCCGGTGACCGCTCGAGTGACTACTCCGGCGTTCGCCTCGATGCCAGCTCCTGTGCCAGCTCCAATGCCAGCTCCAGTGCCAGCTCTGATATATTCCAGCTCCCTTCACCATTCCTCCACCACACTGGCACCTCCTCTTCCGCTCTTACTGGTCTTCCCTCTCCCTCTTCGCACTCCCCGCCAACTACTGTTCGTCTCTCTCGCCTATTCTGCTCATATTTGACTACTAAATAGCTATATTTATTATTTAATCATAAAGGGTCCCGTTGGTTGGGCTGGTCTCATAGGTAAGGTCAGGGTTAGGGTTTGGGCTTGGCAGGAAAATGTGCAGGGTAACGGCCCTGAGCAGGCAGGGTAACGCCCAAAAAAGGTAGGGTAACGCACAAAAAAGGTAGGGTTACGCACAAAAAAGGTAGGATAACGGCTCAGAGCAGGCAGGGCAACCGCACTAATCGGGTAGAGTAACCATCTCAAAATAGGCAGGGTAACAGAACAAAATCGGGCAGGGTAACTGCACCAAACACACGAATTTGATGTGTCGTGCTTACAAAACACCCCTGTCACTGTCAACCAATCAGATTATAGCAATCTCAGAAGAATTATATTCCGGTACATATTAGATACATTCTCATCAGAACAGCAAATTTAACAGTTATTGACGAACAAAACCTTTTGTATTATTTACAATCCTTTGATGGGTATGTATCAGGACAGCGAGTATATCAGAAATTCAAATTCTCATTTGTCACAATCGTTCATGAAGGTTTGAAAGCTATGAATATTTATTGGCACAGTAAAATACTGAAATTGATACTCAATGTATTTGATGGCTTGATTGGT